GGAAAATTGGAAACTGATAGCTGTAACAAATAAAATGAAAATATTACTACAAGCAAGTATTTTTTGGCTACAGTCAAGTCTGTGTTACACTAATTCTATAGTTCTTATAAACGATTTAGTTTTCCGAAGAAAAATTAATGATGTTAATTAAACTTAAATTTATGAACTAAAGAAAATAAAAACAGTTTTTCTTGCCTTTTCTGTTGCCACTTTTTTGACTGTAGAACAGATCGAATGAAATACCGTAATGTTTCAATAGAAATAATTTGAAATATTTTATTTGTTCAAATTAACACAGCATTAGTCTGCAGAAGCAAAAGCAACACCATCAGTAGCTTCAAAACCAGCATCAGCATTAAAACCAATAACCAATAACAGCATCATATACGGTAGCAAGTGTCACTGGTAGTCAAAAGCTGCCACTGCTGCCATTACCACCTACAACGGCACCATTTCGTAAGAAAATCTTGCGAAAAAAATACTAGCTATCAAAATAATAGAAACAACAAGCAATCGTATAACATATAATCTGAAGGAAAAAAAAATCAAAATTTGCTTTTGCTCCTACACAGTCTTGCAGATAAAACAAATTCCAGCACAATTTTTTTTCCGAAATTTGACAAAGATTTCAACTGTTAATAGAAATGTTAGATAATTGGCATACCGTATATCAGTATTCTGCGGTATAGTAAATGATACGAATACCTGTTAATTAAAACTTTTTTTGCTGCAATAAACGATCAGTCAAAAAAATTTGTGTAATGGAAAAGTGTAATAAGAATTTCTTTTACAAGCACTAAAAAGCAAGAAAAAATGTGAAATAGAAAAAGAATAAAAAGAAAAAGAAAAAACAGTTATTTTAAGAACTTTTAATATATTTACTTAAAATTTTTTTGAGCATTGAAGAGGTATAGTCATCTCAGTTTTGATATTCCATAAAGTTTCAATACCACAACTGAACCAAGAAATTTATTCAAAGTTAGCTATTAAAATGTTGCTGCTTTTCAATAAACTACCAAAAAAAAGGGTTGTATTCAGGGTCAGAGTTGCATTTTACTTCAAACTCAAATCAAGATTACTAAGCAAAGCAGCGAGAAAAACAACAACAAAAGTTACCTGTAAAACCAAAATTTTATCATTATTGCTAAAAATATAAAAATATAAAACTAAAGAATGACAATAAAAAAACAGTTAAATAAATAATGTGTTATCCTTTCTATCCTTATCTAAAAAAATTTTCCGATGCAATTTTTTCAATAAATTTTCTAGTAGAAACCAATAGATTAGCAAGATTTTTGCTGGTTTTAATCTTAATATAAGAAACTTTGCTTGTTGTCTAAACTGCTATATTGTCACCTCACCTGTATTTTTTCAAAAAGTCTTGAAACTGTTTTTCTATTGCAAATAACACAAAGTTAATTGCTGAGAAAAAATTGTTGTTTTTTAAAGAATTAACAAAAATGTAATATGGCCTATTAAAAACTGTAAAATTTTTTGTTCATAAATTATTTTTTTTCAGTATTTCCGATGCTGTCTGATGCTTAATTCGCCATCTACACCGGGAAAAGCAGAAGACCAAAAAAAACTTATACTTTTTAAAATATTTTTGTTTGATAATAAAAATTCTGTTTTTTTTCCTGTAAATACTAATTAAGACGTCTTTAACAACCGCTAAATAGAAACGCCAAAAAAAATTAGTTACTATTCTTTTCTGACTTAAATGATTATACTTGCAAACGAAGGAGGGCGAGAAAAAGACGAAAGTAAAGTGTACGTAGGGTTAAATAAAATTACTCTAGTTCATTGATAATATATCACAATTAATGAAGAGTTCTTCAGTGTTTACGTCATCGTGGTGATCGGAATGCAGTGGAAAATGAGTCATATAAGACCCATGAATTTTCCACCAGATTTTGCAGAAAAAAATGACCAGATACACAGAGTGCCAGCAAAAGATATCGCACTAAAAATTGCAGAGACGAACTATTAAGAGCCGATTATCGACAACAGAGTTTGCACCACAATCAGCAAAAAAAATTTTTTCGGAGGTATTCGCACACACAAACATAGACAGTGTTTGCATTTGAAAAATATTAAAATAAAAACCTAAATTACAAAAAAACGTCTAGAAATTATGCATGTTATCTTCTATATTCTTATCTAACA